TTTCTCCAACAAGCCGGGAAACACTTTTTCCCCCATGGTGTTTTAATTCAGCGTAAGAATCTGATTTGCAATGGTGCCTTCCTCATTTTTAATTTTTCAGTCGCACAACACGCTACTTTTACTGACGAAGCAAGCCGGTAATCGGATATGTACGTTGGACGTGCAGATTCCACCAACAGAAATGCTGTTTGGAGATCATATCTTCAGGTTAGCATCTTGTTCTCTGGTCAAACTGCTGCAATTCTATCCGCTCTTCAAGACTGGGATCTTGTTTACAAACAAACGAATGGACAAGTTTTCCAAATCCGTAGCTTGAAACTGAAAGGGGCAAGTGCCTAATGGAACATGAGCGGCGTTATTTCGAGATTCCATCAGCAATTCTAAATCATTTCGCCTTCACTTCTTCTATGAGCGGTGGTCATGAGGCAAGCATCCGTTTGAGTCATAATCCTCCCGCTCTATGTCATCATAAAGACAAATGGGCATATTTGTTCGTGGCATGGCACGGAATTGGTGACGCCCGGGTGCCCCATTAGTTGACTTTCGTCGATTCAGGGAAACGGAAAGCCAAAGTGTAATACGTTTTGACAAATATGAGCCTGTGAAATGAATTCTGGAATGGAACAGCCAATGCCCTTTTTAATTTACGCAAAGTAATAGATAAAGGGAGCTGGTTCTTCATAAGACAAGCACTCTACGCTTCCTAAGCAGTCCCAATCAACATATGAACGAGCCCGGTTTGGAAAAGGAATTGGTATTCCCGTCAATTGATTCGCCGACACGCTGAAGCCATCGTTGCAAGAAACGTCACCAACGCGGCATTCGCACCAGGACCTGTGATTCATTGATGTGGTGCAGCAATACGACATAGATAAGAAACAAGAGCTGGTAGACCAAAGTCGATGTAAGGTGGGCGCACCCATGTTGTGAGGATTAGGGGGCCTAGTTAACCCGACCAATATTTTATCTGGTGTCTCATCTGCCGTTCATGCTATCGTCATTTCTTTGTATTCACTCTTTTTTGTTCATGCCACTGTCTCCGCAACCCCT